AGCACGAAACACTGCAAAAACGCATGATCGCACGGGCCCGCCCAGTGCGCGTCGCCAATGATTTCTCTTTACTGCTGTCTCTAGTTCTTGCCTAAAATTCTTGACTAGCACGCTTGTTCCCCTCGTATACCCTTACCCCAATCCATGCTCTCGAAGCTGCATCTGGACACCTACCAATCCCGCCAACCGCGCCCATCCCTCACGCCTATCCAGTTACCCTCACCCACACGATCAGATCCCTAAATGTTGGGTAGCGCTACCCAGTGCATCTGGCAAAGTGTCAAGCGAGCGACGCCACGAAACAGCGCTGGTAGAGATACTAGAACGTTCCCCGAACACCCGCCGACCATCAGCCGAGCCGAGTTTTTGCAACTGTCACTAAAACTCGTCCCTTTTTGGCCGACGTGATACACGATTTGCGAAAAATTTTTTTCCGTTGACGGCGTTTTTGGTTGCCACCCGGTGGCTGGCGAAAGGGGGTAGGTAAGGCAGGTTGGGAAAGGGAGGGGGAGGGAGAGATGCTGGTTTGGGTGATGTTCGCACGATATTTCTAACGTATTCTTAACATAGGTCTACACTGAGCATATAAAATTCACATGGGTATCCCCCTCCCCCGTGCATAAAACCCGTCTGTGTTTTCAAGCGGCATTACTACTCCTTTGCAGTGGATAACCTCACCCCACCCTGCACCACTACAAAGTTTCAGCCCCTTAGCTCGTGTGGTTCCCGAGACCGCTTTGCCGCCAAAAAATTTGCATATTTCTTTAAAGCGTTGCAGCACGAGCACTACCCTAAGGCCTAAGTACCCCCAGACCTGTCCCTCACCCCCCTTTCTTTCGTCTCCATCCTTCCCATGCTCCACTCGCTGCCATTTGCCTGCCATCTCAGTTGAGCTGAGTTTTAGTAATTGCCGGTGTTCGAGCGTGGAAGCGCTGGCCTAGGTCAATAAATTTTGTTTTTTTTTATGCGTTTTGTACTGTACGACAGCAGTACAAAACGCATATTGTCACGAGGTTGTCTGTGTGTGTCCGTAGCTA